CATCCCAGTCTCTTTGCTCGCGTCTGGAAACCCCTCTTCAGTCGCCTGAATCAGTACCTCTACTCGCAGGTATGTGACTGCTCCTCATCTTTTCCTCCCCTCTTTTCCGTTACAGAGGCATTTTAAGAGTAATCAAAGGTATCATGCAGTTTCTCTGGCCTGCAGAATTCACACTACCCTGGGTAGTAGCCAGGAGACTGACGTGCTCCGTCAGTGAAGACTATATGTACCCCCTGGCTTATGCGAGAATCAACCAATGAATAGGGGGCAACTGCTAAAGTTCCGATAAGGCAAATAGGGATCTACACTCGCGTGGACGATTTTTCCGTTCATACCTGCATAACTTTGATTCGTCGAAACTCGAGCGGGGCACCAATTTCTGCGGCAATACTTGAGTTGGGTATGACTAGATGATGACGGCTAATAAGCCAGAAATGGGCATCCTAATCCCCCTAGTCTTTGTCGGCAATGTCCTTCTGCCTACACCTGCGAATGTGACGAATTAATTAAAACCGAAATCGAACGACCAAACCATGACCAGCAGCCAGCTGGAAAAAAAAGTTTCTCATGCAAATTTGCAATATTCGTTAGTGTGAAATACGATCTCCAGGTAATGCATGCTCTGTTGCATGGTGAATTTGCTTCCTTAATTTACCAATGATTCTGAACCCAGTCTGCAGCGAAGTTTGCGTTTAGGTTTTCCAAAACTGGATTATGTATGCTTATCGAGAATCAGCCAGTTATACCTAGCATTAAGTGATGCACCACTTGAGTCTCGAATTCGCGACCTTTTGATCAGGGTCAAACGCCCTAACCATTGAGCCACGAGCTCCTTGACTAGCCGGTTTAGGTCAGGAGATATTGACCTTCGTTGATGAACGTTCACCCGACTGCTATCGGGACTCATCTGTCCCGCTCTGCCTTGGGCCCCGCCAGAGGTTCTGATAGCATTGCCGGCAAAGACAATGAAGACTAAAATCGTCATTTCCGACTTACTAACCGTCGTCAGCCAGTCAGGTGAACGTTCAACAGCGAGTGACAATAAGGAATATTTTTGTGCATTCTTAAAATATATTGTCGCAGGGGACGCATTACTTGCACTGGGTTCCAGTTTTGACAAGTACGGAATATTGCTCAAAGTTTTTTCATATACTGTAGTCTAGTGGTTCAGCATCGGCGACCTTGCACGTCAACTACGACAATTTTCTTGACGAACAAGTAGCTACTTCAAAAATAGCTCAGTTGGCTAAGGCCTTGACTGCACTAAAGCCTTTTCCTTACGGGCATGGGTTGGAATTTCACCGAGGCCGCCGAGTTTTTCACAATTGAGTCAAATGAATTATTTAAATCTACCAATAGTATATATTTCTCCCAGCTTCCTATGACTTCACAAGAGAAATAAAATTTTCCAGAAGTGCGAACGTCCATTTCA